TAGTATAGTATATTATTCCAGATACATTTAGAAATCTATCTATTCATGAAAAAAATTCTTGACCAATTTTTTTACATTTCCTAAAGAGCTACCCAGGATTAGCTCACTTTTGATTTAGACCACTTCTTGTAAGAAACAAAAATAAAGCTGCAACAGTGCTACATGAGAATTGTACGTCTTCCTGGAAATTATAGTTCTTTAGCAGGCACTCTTTATAGAGCCTGCTGAATAAGTATAATCCCTAGGTAGTGAAACCTACTTCCACTTCCACTGCCCTCTGCACCCAAGCGGGCCAACCACCTTCTGGTTGGGCAACCACACCTGTTGTAAGGTGGCCAATCAGCAAGACCCAGGCCCTTCTAGGTCCACAGGACACCAGAAGTCATCAAGTCTTGTTATACTTGATTTTTACCCTACAATATGCTGCCTTTTAAATGCAATTGATTTATAGTCAGATGACAGATTATAAACAGGTGGTATTTGAACCACCCTCTATAGAATGCAGCGTATTGTAATAGAGTCCTAGTCATCTGTATTCCATGTGGGGAGAGGAGGCTCCAGGTGTGTCAGAGAGCCAGGTAGGTAAGCAAGCAGTTTGACAAGTAAGCAATCAGACTGGTGTTCTCACTGTCCCCACTGCCTTGTGCACACAGGCTGAGAGCTCCCAAATTTCAGACTGGAAAGCCCAGATGAGCAGGGAGGAGCCTCCCACCTGGCACACACCCCAGCCAGATGGCACAACTGGGGATGCTGGCCACTGCATCCTAATTTGCAGCGTAAGCCTGGTTGCTGCTGCTGAACAGATGCTATGCCACTGAGGTGCTGGCTGGTGAAGCTAGGCTGCTGCAGCAACCAACTTTTCTGCCCTCCAGATCACAGCAACAGTGAAGGAAACTTTAAGCCTCTACTTTTACCCCTTTGATTCTCTGGTGGCAGCAGCAGGAGCCAGAAGGGGCCTCCAAGCTACCACCTTCTCTGCCTCCTGTGCTCCAGTCATGGTGGTACACAAGGCAGTTTACAGGGACAGTGGGATTTACATGTCAGAATTGTTAGAAATAAATTGATTTTAAATCCATGGTAAAATAAATGACCCTCTGCCGGCATAGTAAAATATCACTCTTTGGATTCAAATAACATGATTCCTGGGCAAAAAAACAAAAACAAAAACCCTGCCCTTCCATTTGTGTCATGTAGCCAGGATTTTAAAAAATCATTTAAGAAAAACACAATTCAACACTGGTTCTTATTGTCAGTAGGATCAGGCTCTTAGCCTATAAACATTTTTTCCATAAAGTCATAGGGAGATGTGTCCATATGGATCTTCCATCCAGCCAAAACAAAGGAACAGAACTACAGTTGCTGTCTGTTCAGGTTATGTTTTCAAAGTTATAATGGGGGAAAAGAGAGGTTACTTAACTGTAACCATGGTTCTTCGAGTGGTACTCTTGTGAATTCACACAAATGGGTTAAACTGCGCCTGCACAAGACTCTTCAGAATATTCTAGAGCTTAACTAACTGACCGATAAAACGTTTCCCCATGGTGCGCATGCTCTGCCCACCTGCGGTACCTCAGTTCTGAATGTCTGCCGCTGTCATGGCTCTGATAATTAAAAGCTATAGGCAAGCTGTGATGGACAGCGGGGAGGTTGGGCAGGATGTGTGGATTCACAGAGTACCACTCAAAGAACCATGGTTACAGGTAAGTAACCCCTCTTTCTTCGTGGTCTCTGTGAATGCACACGAATGGGTGACTAGCAAGCTCACTTACCGGAAGGAGGGCTATCACGGAAAAAATGAAGTCAGCACAGGCCTTCCAAAACTTGTTTCCTTTTTGGCTCTGACATCCAGCCTGTAATGTGTCACAAAGGTCAATGGTGTAGACCAATTAGCTGACTGACAGATGTCAGAAAGTTCAGTGCCACACAGCCAGGCAGTAGAGGTAGCCATGGGAGAAAGGCTAATATAGAATGCACCCTCAACACATCTGGTGGGGTCTTGCCAACCAGCTTGTGGGCTAAAGCAATGGCAGAAACTATCCATCTGGAAACTGACTGACAAGAAACCAGGTGACCTTTCCGAGGCCCGTGGAAGTAAACAAACAGTCTTGGAGATTTGTGGAAGTCCTTAGTTCTCGAAATATAAAACGCCAAAGCCTGACGAACATCAAGGGAATTGAACATCCGTTCAACATCTGAAGAAGGGTTAGGAAACAACATTAGGAGACTCAAAGGCTGATTAACATGAAAATTCGAAACCACTTTAGGAAGGAATGAGACATCAGGATATAAGATGACTTTATTGGAGTGAAACTGTGCATAAGGTGCATCAGCCCGTAGTGCAGCCAACTCACTCATCCTCCATGCAGACGTAATAGCCACCAAAAACAAAGCATTTGGAGAGGTTTTAGAGCAGTAGAAGCCATAGGTTCGAATGGAGGATGTGTAAGAGCCTTCAAGACAGTCTGAGGAGACCATTGAGAGATTGGAGGCCATACAGGTGGAATGTTATGCAAACCTTGAAGGAATCTCTTCATAGTCGGGTGTGAGAATAAGTGGGAAGTGTCTGAACTCGTAGGCTGATACGAAACAATGGCTGAAACATACAGTAAACTTTAAGTGTAGAATGCGCCAGTCCCAGATTGAACAAATAATGTAGGAAGGTAAGAAGGGTCCCTAAGGAAACTGGAACAGTAACAAAACCTCTGGGCTCAGCAAACTTAGTCAAAACAGACCACTTATAAGAATACAGTAATTTGACTGAAGGCTTCCTAGCCCTTTCGAGCACCTCCTTTATACCGTGAGATGGAGCAACTCGATGTTGGGGTGACAGACATTGCCTTTGTCCTGAGTCAGAAGGAATGGTTAAGAAGGCAGTCTCAGGAAATCAGACAAGGTGCTCTTGAGGGTGGTAAATCATGGTTGCCAAGGCCACCATAGCGCCACCAGGATGCCATCTGCTCGCAACTGGCGGATTCTGACAATTGTCTGTTTAATGAGTGATATGGGAGGAAAAAGATAGAGAAGGACAGCATCCCACTTCACCATGAAGGCATCTCCCAAATAACCAGTGCCTCTCCCTGCTTGAAAACAAAACTTTTTGCACTTTGCATTGAACTGAGTGGCAAAGATGTAGATGGCCAGTGTACCCCACCAGTTGAAGATATGGGCGAATACAGAGTCGTTGAGAACCCATTCATGCATTTGAGCGGTCAGGGGGCTCAAGCAATTGGCCACCTAGGAAGACAGATTCAGCAGAAGACAGTCAAATATATTGTTTATTGTTCTTGGCAGGGTGATAGAAAGCTTGTCGATGCTGACCATGCCAATCAATTTCTACGTAAAGTGGCTCCTCATACTCAGCGAAAGCAAGACACCAAGATGGATGCGGAAGAACGATCACGTCCTGATGTTGAGGGAGCTGTTGGCCTGGAGAAATATGCTGACAGTTTGCGAGACGCTTACGCGGAGGGGATTGTTGTGGAGACACCTCCGAGTTAGACAACTGAATCACTTTTGCCCACCCGATTGACATAGGGCTCGAATGGGCCGAGGCCGGGCTGGAGTTTACATCAGCCTCAGAACGGCTGTGACTCGGAGACAGGCTCGGAATCAACATCGAAGTCTGTGTCTGTGGCACAAACCCATCCCCTTCAGAAAGCGATTCCAGATCGTGCAGTTCCCTGGAACATTCCTTGAGTATCAGCAAGGGCAGGGTGACTCGAACTGGAGGAGGTTCCTCCAGTTGAACAGATTTAGAAGTTGAACAGTTGAACAGATTTAGAAGGGCGTTTAACCTTTTTATGTTTAACTACCTCTTTCTTCTTCTTGGGATCTTTAACAGATGGTGCTTTTGATGCCAATGCCAACCCAGATGTCAAAGATTTCTTCGACTTGGACAACTTTGAAGAAGCTGTGGAAGAAGGGGTAGCAAGTGCCAGTGAGGTAGCAGGATTGAGACAAGGAGTAGGAGGAGCAGGAGGCATGGTAGTTTCCAAGGCTGTTGAGCCCGACGGTGTTAACGATTTCTTCCAAAGATACGAGCAGAGTCGCTCTAAGCGGAGCTTCAGGGTGGGCTTGGTTAATTTTTTTACACTCTTGACAAGAATTGGGCTGGTGTCTTTCTCCCAAACAGAAGAAACAGCAGTCGTGGCCATCCATAAAAGGGATTCTGTTAGCACACGACGCACAGCGTTTGAATGGGCCTGAAGAGGCCATAATATCTGGTGGGAACAGGGAAAGATGGTGGCAAGGAAAAGGGAAAAACTCAAGGGAAACATAATAGAAATCCAGCATCAAAAACCGAGAAATCAAGCCGAGAAGATAAAGATTCAAATATAAGGTCCAAAACCATAAGACGAATCACAAACAGTAACCAGTCCAAAGTTCAAAAACCAGGTAATAACGGTAGCTGATCCAAAATGCAATAATCGAAAATCAGGTCATTCCATGTCGAAATATGCCAGATAAGAAAAACACCATAGTCAGAAACAGTCCGAGACCAAAACCAGAAATTTAAAGGATTAATAAGCTCTAAGCAACACGGAGTCTGATTGCAGCGGTGGCAAAAAAGGAACTGAGGCACCGCAGGCGGGCGGAGCATGTGTGCCACAGGGAAACATTTTATTGGTCAGTTAGTTAAGCTCTAGAATATTCTGAAGAGTCCTGCGCAGGTGTAGTTTAACCCATTTGTTTGCATTCACAGAGACCATGAAGAAGAACGCAGTCTGCAACAAAAGAGGAGAAAAACCCAGTGTTAAAATCCCATGCCCCCTCACCAGGAGCATTCATTAGGGGAGTGCTATTTCATATACAGTGGGGTCTTGACTTAAGAACGGCTTGAGTTAAGAACATTTTGACTTAAGAACCACTCTCACAGGAAAATACTCACTTGACTTACATACTTAGATTTGAGTTAAGAACTGAAAATAAACCACGTGGGAGGCAGGGAACGTGCAAAATGTGAACTTTCAGTTAACTGTTGGCCAGTGAAAAGGGTGCCTGTCTGCTTCCTCACTCCTCCCAGCGTTTAGAGAGTGGATTGGGAGACAGTCTTCAGACTGCCTGGTACTGGACTGCCTGGACTGTATTTTCCCTGCCTTCCCTAAACCTTTCTTGACCTAAGAAAAAAAGAAACAAAATATCCCCCTCTAGTGGTCGAAGGCAGAATAGCAGCTTCCCATTAGTTTCTATGGACGGAAAAGAGCAGATACGGATCAAATGGTTTTCAATGCATTCCTATGGGAAATGCAGATTTGACCTGAGAACTTTTTGACTTGAGAACCGCCTTCCAATACGGATTAAGTTCTCAAGTCAAGACCCCACTGTATGTGTTCAGCAAGCCCTGAATTCTCCACTAATTCCCCAGGCAGAGTTCTGCAAGCTGCAGCCCACAATCACAGATCTGCAGATCTCTAGATTTCACATTTGTACAAAAGGACTTTCAGGTTATTTACCTCCAACACTTCCACCATATTTGTTGTTATTGTTATTTTTTAAAAGCAAGCTGCTATAATGCTTCTTGTAAGTCATATTTCTTCAGAAGACACCCTCCACAGAGCCTAAATGACACCTAGACTACTAAATTGTTTTATATAAACCACATTGTGAACTTTTGTCCCTTTGAAAGGAGTAAATAAGTATTCAAACTAAATAATCATGAAGATTCACAATTTTCATTAAGCTTTTAGCATAAAAATTTACTTAATGATATGTAAAATATGAGTTTATCCAACAAGTATCATACTTTTGCACCAGAAAAACCAGGAACTCCATGTTGGCCTTGATCTCCTATTTCGCCTTTCCTCCCAGGCTGTCCTATTGGACCTGGAAATCCTGGTGGACCTGGTTGTCCTGCAGGGCCCCTCCTTCCTTCAAGACATCTGCAATCTCCTGCCTCACCTGCAAGATACATCCCAGAACATATACAAAGAAGTCAGTCTTGTTCCCATAAAATATGAAAAAATCACTGAAGAAAACATTGATAAGAAACTTATTATTAGCTAAAATATAGTAAAAACAAAGAAACAGAACAGAGTGAGAATACTGCCCAACACAAGCAAAATCTCCTTTCAGAACATCAAGTAAACTTTCTTTATAAAGAGGAAGAATTTACAGAGAAAACCTGTTAAAACATTTGCCCTGCTTCACTGAGCAGTTAGAAGTTTAAGGGTGGATAATTTGCCTAGGATTGGTTTCCTTCTCCTTTGGAAGGCAACCACTGGGATATTATTGGCTTTCTCTGAGGCTGCTCAAAGGTTATGGAATGCCCTCCCTCAGGAAGTCAGACTTGCCTTTCTCTTTTAACTTTCTGCTGACAACTGAAGACCCACTTTTCAAGCAGGCTTTTGATTACTATGACTGAGTCCCTCAATGTAATTTTTTTTAGCTTTTGTTTTTATACTTTTAAATATTTTAATTACTTAATGGATTTTTAACTACAGTGGTGCCTCGCATAGCGAAAACATTGCTGCACGGATAAAAAAAAAAGCCAAATCGGCAGAAAACTCACCGTACAGCGATGTTTTCCGGTCCGGCAGCCATTTTTGTGCCCTCCCCTCACTTACCAAGGGCGCGAAAA